AATTAACATAAACTTAGGGGTCACACAATTCAAAAAATATTAAATTAGTTTGTTTACAAATGGTCAATTATAAATTGAGTTCAAACTATATTATTTTACCAAATGAGCGGGTATCCCTCATTTTTCCTTGAATTTTATTGTACTTTACAACTCCAATTATATTTTAGGGAGTATTTGAGAAAACCCTCTCATATGCCTTTTATAGTTAGTGTAGACCAAAAAAAAAGGTTTTCAGAAAAAAAAAATTCAAATACAAATAAAAAGTCAACGTCGGAGGAAGACCAGCGGTCTCCGTCGGCTGACCGGTGTCTCCGGTGGTGGCGGTCAAAATTGGGGTCAAATTAGAATAAGGGTCAAAATTGGTTATGTGTGAAATTGGGGGGCTAAATTGGGGTGTAAATCATGAAATTGGAGTTGAATTAGGGTTTTAAGGAGTTGGGGGTAATTTCGATATATATAAAAAGGTTTTCTTTATTTGCAAATAAGTTTGAATGAACTCGATTTATTTGGAAGACAAAAGGTTAGATGTCCCATTTTAATTAAGTGCTCTTGTCATGTGCATATTTGTGATTTGCTCTTATTAAAATAGGGTTCTATTTTGATAACTCATCCATCCGGAAGTAAAAATACATCCTAGATAAATAACTATCAAATATTGTCCTAAAAGATAGGAGCACGTCAAAAAAAAAAAAAAAAAAACCTCAACATAATTGAGTTTTCTTTGCGTAAAAATCTCAATAGAATTAAGTTTTCTCGACGTCTTCAACAAATTTCCCCTGGCAAAAATAAAAAATAAAAAATTCTATGTGTATATATAAACATTTCGCTGCTTCAAAACTCTCCACAAAATTATTAGTGTTGTACTCACTATTGAAGAAACTCCAAGCAATTGTTCAATTGTTCAATTTTACCATAAAAATCGGTTTTTGTGGTTATTTAAAATGGATTACAAGATAAATAATATATAAATAATGATAAATTTGTTCGATAAAGTTCCGCCGAGGTAGGGATAATATCCGAGCAGGCCGGCCAGGTAAAGATACAAACTTTGGGGGAGCGGGAATAGACCAAATAAATTTCCAACTTTTTTTTACCGTTCCACTAACTGCCCCATCTCGGTGACTCGACGAATCCTTCGTGTGCACTCGACCTGCAAGAATAACTTGATAGCATGATTTCTCAGAGAAGTTTCCACTCGATGTATAGTCCCAGATTACAGTATGTTTTGAAAGATCACTTCCAATAGGAACCGCTAGTATTCGATGATTATCCACTGGCCAAAAGAATTCCGATAAAATATTTGTGTTCCATGATCGGATATTTGGGTCGATGAGATCAACCACCACGTTTGGAAATGAGGAGTTGATTGGTCTTCCTGTAACAATTCGAAATGCCCCGTCTTCCACTAACCATGGGTCACCCCAAATGGCAGTTTCTCGACCATTACCCACTCTAAAGCATCCTATAATATAGGATGGAATAGCTTGTACGACTGACTTGATAAGAACCTCTTTCCCCTGCCTTCGATATCTTCTTTTCGCACCAGCCTTTGATTTTATTCCAAACACTATCTCTGAGGTAACCAAAAACCGCCTTACTAGACGATTCCATCGAAGACAGCATACCCAAGTACTTGTCATGTTTATCCACCACTTGAAATCGAAGAATATTTGCAATCACCCTCCTTCTCCTACTCGTAGTAGATGGACAGAAAACCATGGTAGATTTATCCAAGTTAATTAGTTGACCCGAGGCAAGCACATACTCATCAAGAATACGCCTAAGGGTGGACACACTCAACACAGTAGCATGGGAAAAAATAAGTGTATCATCTGCGAAGCAAAGGTTCGAGATCGGCGGAGCCGTCGGAGCAATTTTGATGCCTTGAATTTCTCCACTATCGGCCGCCTTTTGGATTATCGAGATAAGGGACTCAGTGCAACAAATGAAGAGATAAGGCGAAAGGGGATCGCCCTGACGAAGCCCCCTATTATTCCAATAATTACATAATCGAACCAAACTGGTAACCATTGAACAAAAATGCATAAGAAAGAGATGAAACACATAACACAATCAATTCAATCAAGCTAGAGGGAAAACCGAGACGACTCAAGATTCTTCTAAAAAAAACCCACTCGATCCGATCATATGCCTTACTAACGTCCAGTTTAAAAATGGTCATTTGTGTGAGTTTACCAAAAAAAATGCAGAAAAAATTGCATAATTTGCTCGCGAGTAAGCAACTCGAACTAGCATCAAGGATCTAAATGACCTTTACCGAAGAGTCTAGTATTTGCAACCAAAAAACTAAAATTATTACGGGATGAAAAACGTAGGTAATAAGTTTTACATATGAAAGAACAAAGTCGTCTTCCAGCATTAATAATTCTCTTATGCCTTTATGTGTGAAGTATTTTAGTACAGTTAAACCTCAATAAATTAATACAGTCGGGACTAGATAAATTCTATTAATTTAGCGAATTATTAAATTATCGAGTTAATAATTTAACACGTTATCACCGAGTCGGGACTGAGATAAACTATTATTTAAGCGAGATTATTAATTTATTGAGTATTAATTTATCGATGTTCTACTGTATAACATTTAGGGCAAATGACAAATAGGACCATAGGGCTAGACTTAAAATGCATATAACTCCAGACAAGTAAAAGTTTTACAAATAAACCCATCCCATATCTTTGTCTAAAATACACTTCATAATATAATTTTCATCAATTTCATCCATTATACTCTAACTTCATCAATATTGCACATTGACCCCGGATTTGAACAAATAAATCACATTAACCCCCCATTTTCACAAATTTTTGATTTTTTTGATTTTTTTTCCAGCCAGATTCCTGCGTTGAATTTTATTTTATTTTTTACTAAAATATTTTTCCCTGCCTGTCAGCCGCCATTGACTTTTTATTAACCTTTTTTTCTTCTACCTAAATTACTGTCTGAGACAGTAATATTGAATGCCAAAATAGTAATATTACTATTGTCAGAGACAATAATAATACGGTCAGGACATAATACTGCAGGTCAAGACGATAAAATTAATTAATACATTAATATTACTGTGTTAACAACAATAGTACTGTCTGACAGTAATATTACAGTTAGGACAGTAATATTACTGTCTTTGACAATATTATTATTGTATGTGACTGCAAAATTTGTCTTTGACAATAAGATTATTGTATTTGACTGCAATATTACTGTTGAGACAGTAATATCGCAGGTTAAGACAGTAATATTAATGAAAAATAGTTATGTAAAAAAAAGTTAACACCGGAGACCGGCGGTCAACGGATGCTGACCTGCCGGAAATGAAATTCAGATAAAAAAAAAATCAAAACAAGAAAAAAGTCAACGCAGGAAATCGGCAGTGGTTATCAAACTTGGTTAATTGGTGAGGCAAAATTGGGGTATAAATAAGAATTAGGGTTTCAAGGAGTTGTGAGTAATTTTGGTATATACGAAAGAGTTTTACGTATTAGCGAATAACGTTGAATGGGGTGGATATAGTTGCAAGACAAAAATATAGGATTGCCTTTTTTAATTAAATGCCTTTGTCATGGGCCTAGTTGACATTTGCTCTAAAATTTAAGCGAGATGTTCGTATTATTTTTTAGGGCAAATGGCAAATAGGCCCATGACAAGGGCACTTAATTAAAAGAGGGACATCCAACTTTTTTCTCTTTCAAATAAATCCAGTTCATTCAAACTTATTTGCAGTAATGAAAATCCTTTTACATGTACCAAAATTACCCCCAATTCATTGAAACCCAATTCAACTATAATTTCATGATTTACACCCCAATTTAGCCCAATTTCATCAATTAACCAATTTTAACCCTAATTTCAATTTTGACCCGCCACCACCGGAGATCGCCGGTCGCCATCGTTGACTTTTTTTTTTCGGCCGGTTAACTGCCGTTGACCGCCGAGTCTCCAGCGTTGACTTTTTTTTTTTTTTTTTTTTTTATTTTTTTTCTTGAAAAGCATATTTTAATTAATATTACTGTCTTGACTGCTAAATTACTGTCTCCGACAGTTAAATAACTGTCGGAGAAAGTAATTTAACTTTTAATTGACTTTTTTTTTTCTTCAAAAATATTTAAATTAATATTACTGTCTACGCTGCTAAAGTACTGTCTCCAGCAGTTATTTAACTATCGGACAGTAATTTAACTATTAATTGACTTTTTTTTTTTTAATATTTTAATTAATATTACAGTATTCGTTGCTAAATTACTGCCTGCAGCAGTTATTTAACTGTCGGAGACACTAATTTAACTGTTAATTGACTTTTTTATTCTTAAAAAAAATATTTGTAATTAATATTACTGTATTCGTTGCTATATTACTGTAATTTAACTGTTAATTAACTTTTTTAAAAAAAAAATTCTTAAAAAAAATTATTTTAATTAATATTACTGCATTGGCTGCTAAATTACTGTCTCCAACAGTAATTGAACTGTCTTAGACAATAATATTAATAATACTGAGACAGTAATTTAGTAGCCAAAAGTCAAAACAATAATATTAATTAAAACTTTTTTTCTAAGAAAAAAAAATTAAAAAAAAAAAAAAGAAAAGTCAACGCCGAAGACCGGCGGTCAACGGTGGTTGACCGGTCGGAAAAAAAATTCAGGAAAAAAAAAATTTCAAAAAAAAAAAGTCAAGCCCGGAAAAAAAATTTCAGAAAAAAAAATTATTTTCTGAAAAAAAAAATATTTTGGGGGTTAATGTGATATATTTGTTTAAATCCGGGGTCAATGTGTAATAATAAGGAAGTTAGAGTATAATGGATGTAATTGATAAGAATTATATTATGGAGGGTATTTTAGACTAAGGACATGCGGATGAGTTTTATTGAGAGACTGTTTTTGTTGTGGAACAATGTGCATTCGCCCTATTTTTTAAATAAAAGAGGTGTATATGCAATTATATCTAACTTAATTGGGGCTCTGTGTAATTTGCCCAATCGTATGGGCGAAAATTGAGTTTCTAACAAATCAACTGTCAAAAACTGAGATCAACTGCGGCCACTCTCCCTTGAAAGAGCCCTAGAACAGCTTAAGCAGCCGTGTTTTGCATTTCTCAGGCAAGTGGAATTCTCTTCTTCAACTTTAAACATATATATAAGGTGCTGTATCTATAATAAATATGGCTGCATTTGTACGCCAAAAATCCATCTCTCTGTTATTGAAGAAACTTTCATCTCCCTGCAAATCCATCTTTGATTTCTCAATCTCTCCCCGTTTGTATAATTCCACTACAGAATCGTCTAGTGCAACGCAACCCGTAATCGATTCGGATTTAGCAAATCTAAACAAAACCGAAAAATCCGATCTTGTTATTTCATTCTTCAAAGAAGGTGGGTTTTCGAGCACCCAATTGGGGAAAATCGTGAAATACAAACCCTCTTTGGTATCAGCTAATCTCGAGAAATCAATCAAGCCCAAAATCAAGATTTTCCAGGACTTGGGGTTTTCGGGCAACGACATTGCCGATATAGCGTCGCATAACCCGTCGATTTTGTTTCGGAGCGCGAACAATATCCTCATCCCCTCGTTATCCGTGCTCAGGGGTTTGTTGGGATCCAACGAGGAGGTGGCGAAGCTTCTAAAGAAATCGGGGTGGTTTTTGGTGAAAGATTTGGAGAAGACGTTACTGCCGAATGTCGATTTCTTGAAGAGCTGTTGTGTAACCATGGAACAGATTATTCGGACGGTGAACTCGTTCCCGAGGTTTCTATTACAGAATCCCGAAAATATAAGAAAATGTGCAAATAAGGCCGAGGAAATGGGCGTCAAAAGGGGTTCGAAAATGTTCATTCACGCGGTTCGGACAGTTGCTTCGATGAGCGACGAGACGTGGGAAATGAAGTTGCAGGCTTTTCGGGATCTCGGGTTTTCGGAAGACGACATTTTGAGGGCTTTTAGGAAGTCGGTTCCGGCTTTTGCTGTTTCTGTGGAGAAGATGAATAAGGTTAAAGAGGTTGTCGTTTCTAGCGGGAAGTACGACATGGCGTGTATTATCAGCCACCCGATATCGTTTATATGCAGCGTTGAAAAGAGGTATAAACCGAGGCTGCAAGTTTTAAGGATTTTGGAAAGTAAGAATTTGATTACAAAGTGGCCAAGCTTTAGTACAATGTACAGCATATCAGACAAGCAGTTTTTCGACAAATTTGTCGGCCCTTATCAACATCAAGTTGGCCATGTATCGATGCCAAAGTGTGCTACCCGTGGCAAAAAAATGAGGTTAAATGAATCTTGATTATGAAATTAATTTTATTATTTTAACTTTAGATTACCGAAGCCTAGAGTAAATCGTTTGGCGGATTGGAAGGTAAAGATACTTTTTGAGTATTTATACTATTTTGTATTCTTGATGCTAAACTTAGTTGTTTTGTACGATTCTTGGAAGGTTTTAGTATTGATGTTTTGTAACTGGCTTATCAATCGTGTAGCGAGGAATTTTACATCGGTGACTAGCCGTCTCTAATAGAATTGCATATGCGACGAACATCTTTTAGTATCTCCAAAGATCGATTTTTTACTTATCATTTTCATCTATGATATGAAAAACTTAGATAATGTTTGGATTCGTTTTTAGAGTTATTTTCATTTTACTTTGCGGAAATATATTTCGAGGGAAACTGGTATTTTAGAAGAAGAATTTGAATAATAAAGTGAGCAAAATGAGTTTCTTAGTCATGTAAGTTTGTTAGTTGGGAGATTTAGTTCACCTCATTTCAAAATTAGAATTTTAGTCTTTTAAATTACAAAATTTGAAAATATTGGTCATATGGCCTGCTATAATCGGTAATTCAATAATTAGTTGAGTGAGTTGGCACTTAATTTATACCGTGGCAGTCAAATTTATACCGTGGCAGTCAGATTGTTTCACTGTATAGTATAGCACTCAAATCATGTCCAGAAGAGAGAAATTTTTGAAATTGATTTGAGATGTTTTTTTGAAAAGCTTAAACAAACATAAATCTGTTTCCGAAAAAGAGTAAAAATGAGATGGGAATAGAACCAAAACTTAGAGTTATTCTATTTATTGGGTACTTGAGCTTACTTTTTACTTAAACAATTTACTAAATTTGTTATTTATTAAAGGGGCAATTTGCTATAGGTCCTCCTCTAAGAGATTATATGTGTTAAAATCCATCTAATAAACTCTAATTTCCTGCAGATTTTATTATTTGTAATTTGTCAAAAATACCCATATCAATATATGGTAAAATAAATCCTCAAAATCAAATCCCCTATTTTTCTCCCTATATTATACAGCAAATCCGAAAATTAGGACTGCAAATCTCTTGATATCGATTCTTCCTTGTTTTTTCAAAACCAAAATCTCCACAAATTTTGAAGCCTTCCATAGGTTTGGGTGTCTGAGCGTTTGCAATTTACAAGGTCGTTTGCAGTTTGCCTTCATTCCCTTTTCCTTCATTCGATTTGTTGTTTCCCAATTTGCATTCGTGTCGTTTGCTGTTTAGAAATTGTTTGTTGTTCGGTAACAACTCAGGTAGTAAAAAACGCACCACCGCTACGAACGCCGCGCCACTGCCGCAACCGCCCGCTTTTGTCTCTGTAAAATGCAAATAGCAAACTAATAATTAAAACTTGCATTATTGAATTTAAAACAACAAACTACCTATGAATTCACCAAATACAAACAATAAATCGAACAAGTAAAAAATTCAGCATCATCTAATTACAAACAATAAAATGAAAATATGATATGCAATATGTAAATGCAAATAATAAAAATAAAAATACAGAACAAAAATATCATACATATCATAAATATGCAAAAAATAACAATAAAATTATAAAAAATATTCTATCAATGCAAAAATTGCAATTTGCAGTTTGCAACAAAATCTACTGTTATCGATTGCAATTTGCAGTTTGCAACAACAATTTGATTTTGCTGTTTCATTATTTTGTTTTTTGCTATTTATTGAACCAAAATCAATTAGAAATACAAACAAACATTATAAACTCACTACAGATAAATACAAAACGAGAAAAAAAAAACTCACCTTGTGCAAACAATGAGCGATTTATGTTTGTTGTCCGCTTTTAACTCTTTCACCGAAAAATCATCTAATAATGTAAAGCTTCAATTTTTTTTTCCTTCCCTACAACATAATCCAAAAGAATTCGAATTCCAAAGGAAAAAAAAATCGAACAGATGTAATCGAGAAAGGGTATAGAGAAAGAAAGAAGTTGATCGGAAAAAAAAAATCGAAAAGTGTTGATCGAAAAGAAAAAAAAATCAGAAGAAAAAAGCCAGAGACACGAGATGAAGATGGAGAGGAAGAGAAATATGAGAGATTATATAGGAAGAAGATACGTAAGATTGAAGAGAGAGAGAGTGTATGAGATTTTTTTTCTTATTAATTGAGGGTGTTTATGTACATATACTAATTGTTTTATTTTATTTATATTATTTTTATATGATAAAGTACCTATGCCTATATTCATCTAGCAACTAGGATCTCTACCTATATAAGTCCAGAATAAGGGGTGTCTAGCCAATTTCCCCTTTATTAAATTCTAAATGTTTGGTAGCATTTTCATTTTCTTCCCACTCCCCCTCCGAAATGAATCTATGTTTGTTAAGTTTTTCAAAAACATTTCTAAAAATAATTTCAAAAATTTATCTCTTCTTCACACATGATGTGATCGTTACAGTAAAATACGTATTCACTAAAAAGCAAATGGACACCACTTAATGTTTCAACATTGTTTTTTGTCTTCTCAAAAAATATAAACAAACGTGACTCATTTCATTCTCAAAATTTATAAGTGTTTAGTTTCTTGGATTTTATTCGAACCCTATGTGGGATGTGAACCCAATTCTCTGATTTTATGCAAGTATTAATTCCAGATTATTTCTTCTACTTATTTTATTAAGTGCATGAACTTGATCACTTTATGTGCTTTATTGTTATTGTTGAATGCATGAAGATCGGTTTAACAATTAGAAATATAGTAGAAGAGCCTCGGTGTTAGCATAGGAATATAGTTAACCTCTTAGGTAGCCATTTTGAGATTTGTGCTTAATGTTTTGTTCTTGATTGAATTGCGTAGGAATACAATAATTTAGTCTTGAATAATATAATTGTAATACACGCGGAAGCGGGTTATGATTAAATTAGCATCTGAGGTTAATAATCCATATTATTTGCTTGCATAATTGACAGAATTGGGAGATCAATAATGACATAGGGTGGAGATAAAATACTAGTGCTTATTCAGTTGATAAATCTTCGTGCTGTTTGTTTTCTTGTTTTTGGTTGCTTTTTATTTGTGTTTTATATTTTAGTTTATTTTAGTTAATCTTCATGCAGAATTATACAATATTTCATAAATTCACCAATTTTTGCATTGTGCCATAATCGACAAGGTCCTGTAATAAACTCAAATCAAGATTGGAGAATGCCAAAAGTTATTTCAGCATCCTTTCGATACGCCTCTTGCAACCTCGTAAATAGTTTTTTATCGCATCCTCGTGGATCAGGAATTGCTTGAAAAATAGTAGACCAACGTGGATATATACCATCTGCTAGATAATATCCTTGCTTGTATACTCTACCATCTATAGTAAATCGAATATTTGTGGCTAGACCTTCGACAACATCATTGAAAATAGGTGAGCTATATAATACATTAAGATCATTACATGCACCTGGTGGTCCAAATTATGAATGCCAAATCCATGTATCATATGATGCTACGGCTTCAAGTATTATCGTAGGTTTGCCATGGCGCTCAGAATATGTACCAGCCCAAGCGGTTGGACAATTTTTCCATTCCCAATGCATACAGTCCACACTTCCTAGCATTTTAGGTTATCACCATTGCCCTGCTTTTCTAAGTAGTCTAACCATGTCTGCATTTTTAGGTCGTCGAATACTCCTCTATATACACTGCATTGACAGCACAACAAAAATGCTTCAAAGCATCTGAAGATGTGGTCGCTGCTATTTTTAGATACTCGTCAGTTGCATCTGCAGGATATCTGTAAGCGAGTATACGAAGTGCCGCTGTCATCTTGACATGGGGTGAGAAACCTTGATTTCCGGAGGCATTCGGCTTTTGCCTAAAGTAATTGTCAAAATGTAAGATATCATTCGTAATTCGTAAAAACAATTCACGCCTCATACGATTTCTAGTTCGAAAATCTTCAGGTGGATATAAAGGACGATCAACAAAGTAATCATTCATAAGTCTGTCATGCGCAGCTATTCTGTCCCTTCTTATGGAATTTCGGCGTGATGATTTTCCTTCATGATGTGAATGTCAACATGAGTATTGGTATTCCACGCACATCGTCGTCATCATTGTGTGGTCTTGGTTGTCGTCATCGGAAGAGGAGTTATTGTGACATTTTTTTTTGATAAATAAGTAATTAGACTGTATTTAGAATGTGTGGTGATTGTGTAAGGGTTGAATGACAGGGATTTTGTCAATGTAGTCACAGTAATTAGAATATGCTAATAATCCTCAAAAGTTGGCGAAAATTGCACATCTTCGCTCTCGTTTGAAGAGAACCCGCCGCCACCGGAGCAAGAATTGGAGGAAGATGAAGATTATGAGGGGTCGGGGTTGATAAATTCATCGGGGGAGCAGAATTTATGGGGTTCAATGACAGGGATTTCGTCAATGTAGTCAGTGGTGGAATCAAATGGGCTCTCGATTTTGTGTTCCCTAACTCGCTTACAATGGTTGAGTGTGCTCCCCCTTATCCTCCATTATCTTTGGTTCCACCCCCGCTTCCGGTGGTGGTTCGTCGGCGTTGGTGGGTGGTGGTAGAGGCTTGTGTGTAAGAGGATCAATCCCCAATTTTTTAGCTTCTTCTTGATGAGGAGCAATCTTCTTCTTCCTAATGAGTACTATCAGATTAGAGGTGAATTTGGAGGCTTTGTTCTGTGCACATGTAGAGAGAGAGAGAGAGAGAGAGAGAGAGAGAGAGAGAGAGAGAGAGAGAGAGAGAGAGAGAGAGAGAGAGAGAGAGAGAGAGAGAGAGCATTATAGATTTTCCTTTATTTATTTATTTGTATTTAATAAAAAAAATTGTATTTTGATTGTTTAATAATTTAAATATTATTGAATACTTAGTAAGGAACAACGAAAATATTTATAACATTTCATAATAAATATAAGAGTTTTAAGAATTATTTATATTTAATATATATGCAAGGGGTAAAAGCGTCCGAAAAAATGGGACAATAAAAAAAGCAAATATAAATGAGAAAGTCAACATGCCACATCGTCATTTACTAACGGATTCTAAACGGAGGGGCCAGTTTGTTACATTTTGTAGTTTAGGGGGGTCTTTGGTACATACCAGGGTGCAAACTGTACTTCCCTCTAAATACTATACGCATCTTGCTTAGTGCAACTCTTTATTCAATAATGAGTGTTAGAGTAGGTGACCAACAAGCCAACTTGTGGCGGCGGTCGTTCCATTTAATCTTGTAATAAATAATCATTTTTCGTATTAATGATAAAACACCTTGTCATTCTATATCTTTGTCCCTTGTTCAAACATACATATAGACGTGTTATAGTTATTACAAGTGC